GGCCCCCCCCACGGTCCCTTCCCCCCTCCTCCAGCCCCCCCATCCCTTACCTACTGCACAGGAGCCTCGATCCAGCTCCCTGCTGGCACACTGCCTGCCCTGCGTGGGCAGGCAGCATCCTGCCCTGTATGGGCAGGCAGACAACCCCTTCGGTACCAGGGCGAGGGCTAACCCTAGAGACGCTCTGGCATCCAGAGCATTTCTGTGGAGGACCCAGTTTCCAGTTGCCTCAGGGCACGCTCCATGCCCTGCCCTGCTTTTTTTCTCTGTGGGGATTTTTGACTCCTGATATAAAAAATTTGCAGCGCAGGAGACAGTTTTTCATTCCTGCACGTGCCTCTTGCAACGGGGAATAGGGGAAGCGCTGTTTACTAAGGCGCCCCAGGGAGTGACTAGGAATAACGGGTGTAAACTAGTTGAGAGTGGATTTAGGTTAGATATTAGGAAGAAATTTTTCACGGTAAGGGTGGCCAGGATCTGGAATGGGCTTCCAAGAGAGGTGGTGCTATCACCTATCTTGGAGGTCTTCAGGAGGAGGCTAGATAGTCACCTGGCTGGGGTCATCTGACCTCGGTCCTCTTTTCTGCCAGAGGCAGGGCGTTGGACACGATGATCCGTTGTGGTCCCTTCCGACTCTACAAATCTATGAATCTATGTCTCAGGGGAGTTTGAGATGCTGCAGGAGGCACGTGTGGGTTCATCTGGATGTGCCCCATGGAGCTAAAGGATGCTCTAAACCAGTGGTGCTCAACATTTTTGTCCCACAGGCCGGATGAGCAGTGTCAGGTCCATCTGTGGCCCCTACTCTGGACCAGCGGGGGCCAACTTTTCAGCAAGTGCGCCACAAATTAGCCCTGCACACCTCCAAATACTACTGTGATCCTCTTTTGTTCTATCTGCTGCTCTTTCTGTTCCCCACTCTAATACCTGCTTTATCTGCTCTGCTTCCTGCCCTCTGTCGCTGTGCTACCTGTACCCTCCCTGATCTGCCACATGCCACACACACAGGCTACCCATGCCATTTGTCATGCATGCTTTAGAGAAGCATTTCTCAACCTGCGGGTCGCAAGAATATATGAAAGGATTGCAAACAAGTGGATTCTCCTTTAAAGGAGAAAAACATGGGAAACTGTGGCTGTTCCTTTGCAGGTTGGTAGAAATTCCGCCTGCGAGGGGCTGCTTCGGGCCCCCATACCCCAACCCCCATAAAGAGACCACAGAGCCTACCACAATTTAAAATCAAAAGCCAAACAAAAAATACTAAAAGGCATCAGAAGCTTGTTTCAAACTTTTATAATAAAGCAACGTGCATTTATTTTAACACGTAACACTATTTCAAAGAGAACGTGCAGTACCTTTTGTCATTTTAGGCCTGAAGAGCTGCCTCAGGGATAGCTTACACAGGAATAGCTGCCTCCCAGCATGGTCATTAACTGAAACATCTTCCTCTCCCCCTAAATTTCACTTAAAGGAGGTCCAAAAAGAAATCATGGTTTGAGTACTGCTACTATTTTTTTAAATAATAAAGTTTTAACTAGCAATTTTGTGAACATAAATATTAACTTCTCCCCTAGCAATTCTGGGAAGACAAGGGCTCAACAGTTTTTGTCCAAGTCAACATGGAGCAAACAAACATTTAAACGTGATCCAAAGTGTAAATCCTAAGTGTTATATGAAACATGAAGACATTTTTCTGCCACTAGTTTAAGTCTAGAATTGTGTGGCCCTCATACTTAGATTGCAGTGCACTTGAGATGGGCCAGATTCTCCCCATTCCAACACTATTACAACCCATAAACTTCACAATGTTACCTTTCTCCCCTCCCTCAACATTACACCCCAGTGAGGTGCATTTCTCTTCCAAAACATCAAAAGTGCATCATACAGTACTTAAACGTACGTAAGCATCAAAATCAAGACTGTTCGTGATCTGAGAACAGTCTTAACTTTGCCCAGATTAAAGAATCCTCAATGGTGTATGGAAATGGAAGCGTCTGTATCTATACTCAGGTGAGACCCTCACTAGAAACTTCTACCAATTGTGTAGTTTTGTCAGGCGTGATTTTTTGTCATGTTTATCCCAGCTTCTGCTGGCCTAGTGTGACAGTTATTATGGTGAGCGTAAAACTGCTCTTGGCAATACAATGTATTTTGTTCAGGGAACTGGTAGATGCTATATCAGTAAAAGTGCTTTTTTCAGTATAAGCTGCATTTACAGTAGAAACGGTTTGCTGGAATAGTGATACTGGCAAACCCTCCTAATGGAGATGCAGATTATACCAGCAAAAGTTCTTTTGCCAATGCATTTTACAACCAGTTTCCTACACTAAATCAGCTACAATGGTATAAAAAAAACCCTTTTATCTAGTATAACTGCCTACTCTGGAACTTTTGCCAGCATAGCTATGTGAGCTAGGGCTGTGATATTTTTCCATCCTTCCAACTGAGATAGATAGCCATGCTGGCTGAACTTTTAACGACATAGACACAGCAACAGGTTACCATGAGGAAATAATGGCAGGACTTACCAGCATATCAGACACTCCATGGTAACTATCTGCATGCAGGCTCTTACCATACAGTAAATGAAATCCTACCCACACTAGCTTACTTGTCTTACTGAGGGCTAAGCCACTACAGGTTAGCTTTCCTTTAATGTAGGATAAGAGCATGCACAAGGGTAGTTACTGTGGAATTGCTGCCTCACCCTTGTTTACCTCATGGTAAGGTTTATCTGTCCAAACCCCAAGGGGAGACCAAGCCTAGGAGGGTTTGCCAAGTTACATTTTTTATTTCTGCCAGCAAGCCCGTTGTGGTCTCAATTACATTTGTATTTGGAAAGGGATAGTTTCTACAAGCCATTTCAACAAGTGAAGAACTGAGAAGCAAAATCCTTTTTCCTCAATACAAAAAGTTTGTTGAAGATACTTGTGTTAACAGATCAGTGAGAGACAATGACTTTTTCTTTTGAAAAAACACAGATCTGCTACTTATCCAAAGGGCTTGGTGCTGGCATCCGGTAACCGAGAGTTGAGGGGAAGGCAAAGCGTAACGCTGAAAACCCTTCCCTCTCCGGTCTTACTTGGAAACGGGGAGCGCAGCTGTTGCTCACCTTCAAAGAGTTCTGCTGCAAGACAGCGGTCTTCAGTGCTGGCCAAGGGGGCAACACAGAAGGTGGGGGTAGTTCTAAAACGTGAGAATTTTGTAGAGAACTGCTCATTTTTGGAAAAATGGAGGCAGAGATAGTAGTTTGCTTTCTACATGAAAGGCCCTCCTCATTGTCTTCCATCAACAAAAGATTCATCTCCCTTTGTAAAGACAGAGTGGCTGGTGTTTGAGGTTCCTGCATGGAAGACTGTCCCTTCTGCATCCCTTGGAAGTCCCCCAATGCAGAGTTCACCAAGTCTCCTGCTTCTGCTCCCACTTCCAAGGATGGAATTTTACAGTCAAGTCTAGATTGATCATTTTCCCAGAAATTTTCTTCTTGTGCTTCCTCATTGTCGGTCTCTTGACAGGGTGGGTCCTTCATGTGAAAAGATGTCTTCTGTAATGTTTCACTAGAAAGAACATGGCTATTATCCTCTCCATGGTTTGCTTCCTTCTCTGCAGCCTTTTTTCCTTTAAATTCCAGTGTTGGCCTGATAAGAAGGCCCTCTTCATTTACCCTGTATTCTTTTACTGCTTTCTCTCTCCTTAACTTCTGGAAATCTGCCAGCTGACGCAGTTCCGCTGGCAGGTCCATGCAAGAAGACTGATTTAAAAGAAAAAAGAGATACATATATGGAAAATATGTCAACACAGAACATGACAGATCCTCCTGGAATCTGCTTACCTAACAAAATACCATGTCATGAAAACCATGCATTATAGTTCCTTCCAAACATTAAAAAAAGGTCTACTGGGCTTGTAACCTGTTGGCTTTATCATGTAAAAAGATTTGGAAAGTCATCTTTAGTTATGTTGCTCATTTTTTAATTTTAGAAATTTAGGTTGTGTGTGCCCAGAAAAGGTTTTTACGCTCAAGAATTATAGTAAGAAAATTCCTACCGCTGATGTCCAGTTTAGCTATGCTGGTGAGAACCCATGTGCAGACAAGGCTCCAGCGGTTTCTGAATTTAAGATTGTGTCTGTTGGACAGACTAGAGGCCCTGTACCCTTTACACTGCCTTGCTAAGGCGTCAGCAAAATTTTGGCTCAGCTAGGCCTGAGCTTCTGGCAGGCTGCACTCCCCCTTTGCCCCACCACCTAACTCAATTTAATGAGGTCTCTACTTCTAACCAAGTTCTAGCCCCATTTTCCCATATTCTTCCTGGAAGGTGATAAATACCAGGATAAGATAGCACTGGGCTTGCACTGCCAAAAATATAACAGGCAGAGATTTTCAAGGCCCTTACAGATTGTACCTGGAAGATAAGTAGCACATCTTCCAAGAAGATAGGGAGGTTTAACAATGAGGGAACAACTAATTAGTACACATATCAAAGTGGTGCCTGTGTGGTTAGCTCTGTGGTAACCAGTAACTGGTTTTCTTATGAAAGCATTAAAATTTGATTGGCTTCTATAGTTGTCCAATGTATAACACAAGTTTAAAAAATGTTATTGTTCTAACACTGTTTGGATGTGTAACTCCTGCACACTTCCCCTCTGTCAACCAGTTTAATCACTGGGCTGTCAGCAATTAAAGGCACTCTGCTTATCCTTACAGCATCATTTCTTTAAGCTTAAGTACAACAAAACAGGGACAAGAGCCCCAGCCACGAACAGTGCTGGTGCCCAGGTAACCCAGCCACTTGCAATAGTATCATGTAAACCAGGGGTGTCCAACCTTTTTGAATGTGGGGCCGGATCACGAACTTCTTATCACCCAGTGGGCTGGCAAGCCATATTCAAAGACCTCACAGGAAATGACATCACATAAGGAAGCAATGTCACGTGACCTTTGACACCAATGAAGTTGCAGGAAGTGACAATGAAATGGGTCTACTCCGCACGGGAACTTACCCCGTGCCTCCGTCCACCCCGGCCCGACCCCGAAGCGCACCCCAGCTCCGCGCGGGAACTTACCCCGTGCCTCTGTCCGCCCCGGCCCGGCCCCGAGGCACCCCCAGCTCCACGCGTGAACTTACCTCATGCCTCCATCCACCACGCATGCGGGCAGGGTGCGGGCCATGCTGCAGCTCCCCCGGCCACGTGCTGGGGACAAGGGGCGGAGCCCGTCCCCAGCTTGTCCAATCAGGCACAGCTGGGGCAGCCCCGCTCCCTGCAGCCCTCGGGTCAGCTGCGGCAGGACCTGGCTCACTGATGAGCCGGGCCCCACGGAGGTAAGCAGCTCCCCTCCCCTCGCTGCTGGCTGGGGCCCCCCGGGCGGGCCCCCTCCCCCTCAGATAAAATGGCTTGACGGGTCGCATGGCGGCCCACAGGCTATATGTTGGACAAGCCTGATGTAAACACTGTTGATAAAAATCACTTAGGGTGGATAAGACCAGAATTTATGAACCGGAGAATTAATACCAAGACCACATTTCAAGAGTTAAAGATATTGAAAACTAATGAACTGATGTGGGAAAGAGCTGTTTAAAAATAAAATTGGTTGAACAAACAACCAGACAAAAAAACTGCACTGTTTCAAGGTCTGCCTAACATTTTAAAGAATGACTATCTCCAGGAAAGAGCCATATCTTCAAATTAAGATGCAAGCATTCAGAAATCTGCTCAGACATCTTTTAAGTCCTTCACCTAAACCAGAGAAAGCATCACTGATACTTGTACAGAACAAGTAGTTGTTTCAGGCATTCCTTATCTATCATAAAGCAGCAAAAAGGTTGCAAGGTTGGGGTTTTTTGTTTTTTTATAAGAAACCCTTTGCCAGTTTCCTATAAAAAGGATTCTGTCAAACCAGATTAACCCCAAAATTTAGGTTTGGTAAAAACAAGATGCATTGTAAGAACAACCTATCACATTTTTAGATTGTTTCCAATAGAACTATATTGTTAAGTTTGCCACAGCATTTGCAAACTGATGTACAGACTTGGGCTACAGTTTTTTGGTAAAGTCCCTCATCTAGACAAACTAATATAAGACAAGAGTAAATAGATTAAAGAGCATCAACCAGAAATTTGTTCCATTTAAAGTAAGTTATTTTTTTAAACAGATTTTAATTAAACTGATGCAACTGTGTAAAGCAAGGCCATAATCTACCTCACTCCAAGCTGCTGTTCCTGACACTGCAACTTTCTTCTGCAAGTCCAGGTGCATTTGAAAGTTCAGTTTCACATCAAACAATGAGAAGTACAAATGAAACACTATTTTCACTGTCCAAAATAAGAAATTTTCTTTAAAGAAAACAAAGCATAAACTAAATTTCTTAAGAACGGTGGACATAGATATTTAGGTTGCTTGCAGATGTCGAAAAAGAAAAGAAAAAGTGCTTTAATTTAAACTCAGTGCATCTCTGCATTGAGCCCCATGCATGCCCAGAAGAGGCAATGCCTTAGTTGGACCTGCTCTACCAACATCTGTAAAGATCAGGCACTTTAGTGAGGCTTTTTGGCACTTCTATCTAATAACTGATTGAATCAGCTTTAGCTAAAAGCGCAAAAAGGCCACTGAAGTGCTGATCCATATAGACACTGCAGAGTTGAGTCAAACTAACATGATGCTTCTTCCAGTAAATCATTGTTTTTTCGGGGGGGGCGGTCCATATCTGCAAGCAGCCTTAAAATTTAATTTTAACAGTGGCGAGAACTTATTTTTTTTTATTTTAATTTTTAAATGAATGGGAACAGATTCATTCCTGGTCCAAATTTTGGAAGGTCATTGGATTTATACCAGGGTTGCCCTTGGCTCACTGTTAAACTGGGTAATCCCTTAAAAATATCACACACTAACTTTTCCTTTGTTTTTTAAGTAAGTAGATGACCTCTGAGGGAATTTGTGCCATCATTATATATGACGATGATCTAGAATGTTGATCTTCTACCCTGAAGTTTGTGTGTCTTTTTACATATATACATTTAAAATTCAGTTCTCAGGTTATTTTTTTTCCTTAATGGACAACTTTTCCTTCCTTAGTAAAAACATTCAGGATGGTGAGATCTACCCTTCATCTGTGACACAACAATGACCTCTAGTGGATGTTTTAATTAGTCTCCTAAATCCTTTATGATCTAAGTCCGTAAAGGGCATGTACTGTGAGTACTCCCAAGGGTTTTAAAACTACACTTAGTGCCTGGTTGAATTAGAGTCAGACTGTGGAGAACTAGTCTGAGGTTTTCTTTTTTCAAGGTGAACCAATGACTATTTCTGTGTGTATTACAAAGGATATATTTAGTCATGTATCCCATTTAAACATGAGGCAATGGAATATTGCAATGCCAAGGCATAATCCAATGAGAAGTTAATTTAATCTTGTCATAGTGCAGGGGAAGGTTTAGCACCCCTTTCCAATCTCAATGATTGAACTCTCCAGGCACCTGTTTCACAATTTTGAGGGGGAAAAACTCAAAAGAAATCCAAAATGGTTCAATGCAAGGAGAAGTCTGAAGCAGAGTGCCAAAGGAAATAAACTTTACATGGGACTCAGATACTACAGCTGATATCTGTATTGACATAAGGATTGACAAGACAAACTCTGGATTACAAACACAAATTATATGGCTTTATCAAAGACCGTTTCTCATATTAACCAGAATAAAAATACTATTCAAGACAACAGTAGTCCCACTCAACGAGACTATTCACGCACATGTTAAACTATGTATATTTAAGTGTTTGGGGGGCCAGGTGTAGGGGTTTTTTTTAGACAGGAAGCAAGTTGGAGCGTCTGTCCAAAAATATTACTGCAGAGGAGTATCTAGAGATATATACTCCAGAGAGCAGCAAGGTCATTTTGAAAAGCACTAGAACTGTCCCACCCTCGATCAGCAAACACCCGTCTCTCTTCTGATCTGTGAGACACACGGTGCCAGGAGTCTCCCAAAAACATTCCATGCTCTATACAGGGCAGATGCTTCCACATTTCTTCAAGTATTGCAAAAGCCACTGCACGAGATTGATTAGGATGACTAATGGCTCACTGCAGACAAGAACGAAAAACATTATCCATAAGCTGAACCCAGCAGGTATTTCAGGAGAGCTGACAAGCAGGGGGACAAGAGAAGGGAAAATGTAAAAAATATTTTTGACAAAAACAGACCTTTGGTTAAGTGGGAGACAGCAGGTTTGAACTGTAGTTGCAAAAGAGAGCCAGCAAAACAGTCATTGCCAGGAATTACTGTGTGGTAATTAGGACTAGGAAACAGGTAAAATGATTAGGGCAGGGATGTCAAACATACAGCCCACAGAGCCACTCTATCCAACCTGCCAGACTAGACTACCAGCATAGCCAAAGGGAGTGGCCTGCCACAGAATCCAGACCCTGAGGGCCCTGGTGGACATGACAATCAGCACATGACAGCGAGTGAGGGTTGACAGCAACATTCATGCTTCGTTGTCTTCACTGCCAGAGCCTTACTTCACTGGCTCCTGGCCCCTGCTGCATGCCCTGTGCTGGAGTCTAAACTGGAGCTACTGGTGTGGCATGGGGTACATGGCAGCAGCTGCTCCAGCTCCAACCCAGGGCATGTGGTGGCTCCAGATTCAGTGCCTACTGCATGCCCTAAGTTGAAGCTACTGCTACAGCTGCCTCATGACCTGGTCTGGATCCTGCCCACAAGGAGACTGCATCCTAGGTCTGGTCTGGGGGCACAAGGTGAGTTTGAAACCCTTGGATTTGGGGATTAAGGAACCAGCCAGCCTGAGACTTCAACGAGAGCATACTTACCTTAGTGTTCCCCAGCTGAACTGATGACCCTTCCCGATAGGCATTTAAGTAACCATCCACTAAGGTTGTTAAGTCAGACATCATCTCATCCAGAAACATGAGGCGGAGAGGCAGAAGGTACACTGTCTCCAGAGCCAGCACTTTCAGCAGGGAAGGTGGAAGGGGTCTCACAAACCATACATCAAGGTTTTCCTGCATGCCCCCAACATGAATTAAAACAACTCAGTAATTTATAAAGCAAACAGTTTAGCAAAGAGCAGCTTTCAGCCATGTGCTCTCCTTCCTCCCCAGCTCACCTGGTCCTTCCAGATGCTGATCTGTACCCCTAGTGCAGTTAAAACTGACACTAGCTGTACCTCCCATAGTTTAGTTTATGCACAAATTGTATTGCTTTAACAAGTCCATATAACTAAAGATCTATCTGCATCACCATAAGACACATTAATACCAATTCCCATATAGGATCGGCGTAAGTTATACCAGTACCATACTTACCTGAATCCAAGAGTACCCCCAATCATTAAATTCTATACATGGAAAATGATATATTTCTTACCATTTTCCTTGTGTAGAATCTAATGATTAAGGGGTCTCTTAAATTCATCTCCCTCCCCTGTGCTCTCCCCTCCACCAAATGTTTTCCCCCTCACTATGTGCCCCATCCCCCACAGCAGAAGCCACCCCAGCCCAGGGTAGGTGGTGGTTCAGCTCTGGCTTTGCTGTGGGCTTAAGAATGCAGCAGCTGCTTGCCCCAGCCAATACTCAAATCCAAGACGAGCCCCCCCCCCATGTTGAGTTGGGGGCCTCTCCTCATCTTTGATTTGAGTAAATATATTACAGTAAAAGCTCTGTTATCCGGCATCCCCCGGGAATGGGGGATGCTGGATAACAAAATATGCTGGTTAATTGAGCAGCACAGGCTGCCACTTCTCCCGCTGTGTCCAGGGTGTCCCTCCGCCCCTCCCGCCACATCGCCACCCTTCCTGCAGGCCTTGTGGGCCCCGCAGGACAGGGAGGCGGGCCCCACACAGCCTGTTATGCCCCTGGGCCATGGAGGCTTGGCAGTGCAGGCTGCTTTGCCCCAGGCTGTGGGGGATCAGAGAAACCGGAAGTGCCACACTGGGCACTTCCAGTTTTACTTTATCTTACAAGCCGGCATGCCAGTTAATTGAGCATGCCAGCTTGTAAGATGCTGGTTAACAGAACTTTTACTGTATATCAGTTGTGCTCCCTTACCACAACGGGAGGACACTGAACAATAACTTTAAATTACAGCAAAGTAAGTTTAGACTAGATCTCACTGTTAGAACAGCAAGGCAGTGGAATAGGCTGCCCAGGGAAGTTGTGGGATCTCCTTCACTGAAGGTTTTAAAGATGATGTTGGATAAACATTGGTATGAGATGATTTAGGAGTAGCATTTCTGCATTCATGCAGGGGGCTGGAGCAGATGACCCTCAAGGCCCCTTCCAACCATAATCACTGGTAGCAGTTCTAGCTCAATACATAAGCACTCCCTGCTCCATTGCTAAAAATGCACCTTTGGAATGGACCAAATATCTCTCTGCACTGAACCACCTATGCCATGTCCTTTGCTTGTCTAATGAGGGGTACCCTTAAGTCTAATGAGGTTGGGACCCACTGGCTTAGAGTTTGGGGTTTCACATATTTAAAAAAAAAACAAACCAAAAACCCCAGACAGCAACTTTTACCCTACGTTAGACATACCCCAAATTACATACAATTCTGAGAGAACTGCACGTCTCTTGTGGTTTGTAAACTCTTTGCTAATTCTCCATTTCAAAATTACGTATTAGGAAATCGTGAGTACTGATGTCAATGGAAGCTTGAACCTGCCCAGTCAGTGTTAGAAAATCTGGGCTCCTGAGGCTGATCTATGCAGGGGCAGATAGGGGAGGTTGCAATGGTGTTATTGCACCCTGCTTTGGTTCCTGCTCCACCCAAATGTTAAAACCAACTGTCTGGAAGCGGCAGCAGGCTACAACACTGCTTCAACCTATACCCCTGGGAGAGGCAGCTGCATTTCTATTCAGGCAATGCTGAGAGAGTCAACTGACTGGACAACTCATTATCAGCTCCCTGATTCTCATTAATCTCTCTCCACTCCACAAGTGTTAATGACCTCTATCCTTTTCAATGGTCTTGAAGTTTCACTATTAAATCTATCCTTTCTTCTGCGATTTTGCTGTCAGTTAGCCATTTCTGGTAATGTCTCTCTTCTGTTTCACAGCCTGGCAGACTGTTTTTAGCTAGAGTCAGGTGTAGAAATGACTGACAGTGAAGTATTGCAGGCACTATCAAGATGCTCAAGAAGGCTAGATTTTGTCTTGTGAATCTTAATAAGAGATGTACATTTAACTATAGTGACTACAGGACTAATGACACAATATCCTTTAGCTTTTTGTTACCTAGCTTGTTGTGTTTTTTTAAACTTATATATATATATATATACACACACACACACTAGCAAATTAGTGCACATTCCAATAGTTATATTTGTTTTCTGCTTCAATCTTGAACTGAATAATACAGTGCTAGCCCCTTACTATATTAGTAAAGCTTCTAGTTTCTCTTTTACTGAAGAAAATCTGTGTTGTTGCATGAAAAACCTGTGTTGTTACGTGTGACGATGCACACCACCATGTGGCACACCCTTTTCAAAATCCTAAATCTGCCCATGTATCCAGGCAACCTAACCACTAAGTGGAGTCAAACTCCCTCAGCTGCAATCCCAGCCTGGGCTAATTCATTTCCTATGTTGCAGCTCCTTCTACAACAAACTGATCATCATGATAGACAAATACTTAAAAGGAGCAAGAAAAGTTCTTGCCTGTGTCCTTGATACTGGGAACAGTACTTGCCTGTCTGAATTTCTCACCTGAACTGCCTGTTGTTTGCGCCTCATGAAGGAAACTGATTTAGGGGACATCTTTAAATGCCGTATCAAACACTCCTCCAAGGTGCTGATGCGGTGTGGAAGGAAGCCACCTGTCATCACTGAAAACTGCAGGACATCAGCAACCTGTGAAAGGAAGAGAGAAAGGGAGAAATGCATCACAGCAGCTTCAGCTGACCCAAGAGCAGATAATTAGGATGTTCATTGCTGGAGACTATGCTGAAGTTAAACATGCTGCTAACAAATTAATCTTTAACTGTGCAAACTCTCAGGAGTAAGAGTCTCCACCCTTTCAGGATGTTGCAGTTATGTAGAAATCCTGTGAGATGGCTTCCTTTTTCAGTAAGCTGCTGCTTTTTAGATTAAAGAGTGACAAAAGTGAAATATGATGAAAGATTTATAATCTACCAAAAACATATAAACTAAAGACTGTTTTAGATTACAAAATTATATGGGTTAAACTTGCCATATGTTGTTGGTACATCCTTCCATGCATCCACATTCAATTCACTCATTCAGTTTTCAGCCTTTTTGATAAAACTCTGAGTTTCTGCCATTCTTTGTTTAAACAACACCCCCTACTAGCCCTATTCCACTAGTACAGTCCCTGTGTAGATAGTATATTGCCTCTCTACAGTCCTCCAACAACAATGCCACAATACCTCTGGTTGCAATTTTAACCTCTTCTTTGCCCAGGTTTCATAATGACTACACATCATAACTGTCTTTCCCTGTCCCTTAATTGCACTGCAAACCCTGAATGTGTTTTGGAGAGACCTCTTGTATTGCTAATCTCTCTTTAAAATGCTCTGCACAAGGTATACCAGAAATTCCAGCTAAAACTTTTGCTGCTATTTACTCTATGAAAGAAGTCAAGGATCTCCACAGCCTGAGTTGGAAAAGGGCTTTGCAAGTCCAGTTACTGAATTTTCAAAGGAAAAAGGATGTTTATTTCGGCATTTCATGGGACTTGCAAAAACTGAAGTACTACAGGAACAAGCAGTAATGTTGAGCAAAAGGAAAGGAATAATGGGAGTCCTACCATAAGGCAAAGGATGCCAACAGAAAAATCTGGTGCTGCCCTCTACTTCTGCCATAACTAAGCCAAGCAGTATGTTGTATGCTAGACAGAGCCCAAGCACCAGTGACAGGCATCTTGCTACACTTGGAGAAAGATGCCCCAGCAGAGTCTATCATCATCATTAAGGAGAGGGATGCAGGCTCCTTTATAAAGACGAGTTCTCTGAGACCCAGATGAACCTGAGTAGGTAAAAAAGGAAAAGAACTCAGGGTGGGTGTGGGTTCCTCTTTTCTTAGTAGGTTCTGTCTCTATGCTCAGCTGGACTAGGTTCAGTTGGGTCTCAGAGAACCCCAATCTTCATTAAGGAGGCTGGATCCCTTTCCTTAATGATGATTTACTTGTGTGCGTGTCTACACACATCATAGTATTAGTATATGTGTACACAGACACCTGCACAGCCCCCTCAACTCCCCTTCATTTTATATCCCCCCTCCTCTCAAAATGGTAGCCAAAAGCATGCAGGAAAATAAATGCTTTTTTGAAGCAGTCAGTTTAGTTTAACAATGTGCATTGGAAGACATGGGCAAAAGTGAGAAAGAAAAATACAGAGAGAAATACTAAAAACTTTCCCAGTGTATGCGCTGGACTGGGTACAAAGAGAACATTTACAACAGGAGTCACGGCTCTGCAAAACAAAACCATACTAATACCAATACCTGAAGTTCTGAACATTCAAATATAGCACTGCACATTTACAATCAACTATTCTACCAACCCAGTAAACAGTCATTCACATTTCTAAGAATAAAATTGTAAAAGCACACATCAGTTTTGCCAGAGCAATGCTTTGACTTTCCACTCTGTAAATCCAAGTCTAAAACAAACCACATACTGCACTTGGACTCAGGTACAAAGTGATCATGATGGCATGCTACGGGTGAAGGAGACTTGATTTTCTGTTAGCTCACAGGATCAGGTAGTGGCTTGCATAGTTTCAGGTTGACCTTGGCACAGATATCCTCTTTGTCTGCTGGCACAATCTTGATAAGGGTTTCAAGCAAATAATTTTCTTACTATTCAAGCAAATGGTCTTCAGTCACTGACTGTAAGCTTCTAGAAAGGGCATTATTGCTTATACCTTGGTAAGAAAACTTTATCTTGCCACCCTTTAGTGAGTTCTAGTCATTGTGAAGAGCATAGGTGGATTAATGCATGGGCCTGTGGGGCCTGGGCCCAGGGGCCCCTACCAGTCAGAGGCCCCCGATGCTTGCGTTCCCTTGGGAAACGGTAGGTTTCGCCTTGCAGGTGGGCAGCATTCCATCCTGCAAGGGGTTCTGCTTGGAGCTACAGGGAATGGGACGCAGGGGGCAATGCATGCATGTGCATGGCCAGGAATGCAGCCAGGCAGTGTGGAGAGCAACTCCCTGCAGGTAGGTTTGTGGAGGGGAAGGGGCATGGAGGAGGGAAGGGCAGTGGCAGGGGTGGCAGATCGAGGACCCCAGGACCCATGGTGAGGGAGGGAGTGGGGCAGGAGGCACTGTTCAGCCAGAGTGTTGCATGGGATCTGGGTCAGGGAGTAAGACAGAGCCACAGGCAGCTTGTCCAGGGGGTACAGGGGAGGTGGGGCAGCTCCTCACCACTGCCCACACCCCTCAGGGGAGGCATGGGGGGGCATGTGCCCCCCATATTTGTGCATGGGGTGGATATGGGCTGCCTGTTGTGGAGTTGGGGCTCTCTGCTCTGCTGCTTTTGTACCGGAGGCCCTGCACCAGCCGTAGCGGGGCCCCTGAGGCAAACGCAGCAGGATGGAGAGCCCTGAGCTCACAGAAGGCAACCTGCATCCACCCTTGCCCCACTTGGCTCTCCTCCACTCCAGCTGTGGTGTGGGAAGGGGGCGGGGAGCAGGTAGGAGAGGGGAGCATGTACCACCCCACCTCCAGCCTGGCTGTGTCCACCCAGCCTCCCCCTCAGGGCATAGAGGGCCTTTGGTGGCAGCAGCACCAAGAGGGAAAGGGCCCCTCCCCACAGCTGGAGTCCCCACTGGGGTATGGAGGGCCTTCTGTTTGTTCAGGGCCCTTCTTAATCTGCCACTGGTGAAGAGGTTGGCAATGGTGACTTTGAGCTGCCTGGAGCAGTAATCTTTTCAGGACTCTTGCATCTTCATGAGTAATGTATCATCACTGCCTGTGTGGATCGACAAGAGCCACTTTCATGTAGTGATCCTTGGTAATGTCTCTGATGGCCAAGTGCTCCCGAATCAACAAAAACACCAAAGTGCACAAAAAGTTAAAGATATGGAATTGTTTCTGTCATATGAAAGAAAAATTACTGCCTGTAATTAAGTTCAGCAGTATTTAATGCACTAGTCCTACACTTATTACCAGAGTCCCAATTTACTCATCATACTTTACAAGTCTGAAGCAAGAGTGACCCTCTGGAGATAGACCTGTTGAAAGTCTCTGGGTTAAGATTAGGGGGGAGAGCAAGAAGGGTGATGTTCTGGTGGGTGTGTGCTATAGACTACCAGACCAGGAGAATGAGGTAAATGAGGCTTTCTTCAGACAAGTAGTGGAAGTTTCCTGATCACAGGCCCTGGTTCTCATGGGGGACTTCAATCACCCTGACATCTGCTGGGAGGGCAATACAGAAGTGCACATGCAATCCAAGAAGTTTTTGGAGAGTGCTGGAGATAGCTTCCTGGTGCACGTGTTGGAGAGACCAGTTAGAGGCCATGCTCTTCTTGACCCACTGCTCACAAACAGAGAAGAATTGGTGGGTTATGTAGAAGTGGATGGCAAGTTGGGCAGCAGTGACCACGAGATGACCGAGTTCAGGAACCTGACAAAAGAAAGAAAGGTACAGACCCTCAACTTCAGAAAGGCAGACTTTGACTCCCTCAGGGAACTGATGGGCAGGATCCCCTATGAGGCCAGTCTGAGGGCGAAAGGAATACAGGAGAGCTGGCTGTATTTTAAAGAAATCTTATTGAGGGCACAGGAACAAACCATCCTGATTCGCATGAAGAATAAAAATGTGGCAAGCGACCAGCTTGGCTTAGCAGAGAACTCTTCAGTGAGCTTAAACACAAAAAGGAAGCTTACAAGAACTACAAGCTTGGACAAACAGTTTGGGAGAAGTATAAGAGTATTGCTGAGACATGCACGGATGAAGTCAGGAAGGCCAAAGCGCAACTGGAGTTGCAACTAGCAAGGGACATAAAAGGTAACAAGAAGGGTTTCTACAAGTATGTTAGCAACAAGACAAAGGTCAGTGAAAGTGTGGGTCACTTACTGAATGGGGGAGGCAATCTAGTGACAGATGATGAGGAAGAGGCTGACGTGCTCAATGCCTTTTTTACCTCGGCCTTCACAGGCAAGGTCAGCTCCCAGACTACTGCACTGGGCAGCAGAGTTTGGAAAGGAGGTAAGCAGCCCTCAGTAGTGAAAGAACAGGTTAGGGACTATTTAGAAAAGCTGGACATGTAGAAGTCCATGGAGCCAGATGTAATACATCCGAGGGTACTGAGGGAGTTGGCTGATGTGATTGCAGAACTGCTGGCCATTTGAAAACATGTGGTGATCAGGGGAGGTCCCAGATGATTGGAAAAGGGCAAATATAGTGCCATTTTTAAGAAAGGGAAGAAGGAGGATCCAGGGAACTATGGACCAGTCAGCCTCACCTCGGTCCCTGCAAAAATCATGGAGCAGGTCCTCAAAGAATCTATTTCTAAGCACTTGAAGGAAAAGAAGGTAATTAGGAACAATCAGGATGGATTCACCAAGGGCAAATCATGCCTGACTAACCTGATTGTCTTTTATGACGAGATGACTGGATCTGTGGATGCAGGGAAAGCAGTGGACATAATATACCTTGACTTTAGTAAGGCTTTTGATACCGTCTCTCACAGCATTCTTGCAAGCAAGCTGAGAAAGTATGGGTTAAATGAATGGACTGTAAGGTGGATAAAGCTGGCTGGATTGTCAGGCTCAATGGGAAATAATCAATGGCTCAATGTCTAGCTGGCAGCCAGTATCAAATGGGGTGCCCCAGAGGTTGGTCCTGGGGCCAGTTTTGTTCAATATCTTCATTAATCATCTGGAAGATGGGATGGAGTGCACCCTCAGCAAGTTTGCAGATGACTCCAAGCTGGAGAGGGTGGGGTGTAGTAGGTTCAACGAGGACAAGTGCAAAGTCCTGCACTTAGGATGGAAGAATCCCACGCACCAGTGCATGCTGGGAACTGACTGGCTGGGTAGCAGCTCTTCAGAAAAAGACCTAAAGGGGGTTATTGTGCACAATAAGCTGAATATGAGTCAGTGTGCCCTTGTTGCCAAGAAGGCTAACAGCACACTGGGCTGCATTAGTAGGAGCACTGCCAGCAGATCAAGGGAAGTAATTATTCCGCTCTATTCTGCACCGGTGAGGCCACATCTGGAGTACTGTGTCCAGTTTTGGGCCCCTGACTATAGAAAGTATGTGGACAAGTTGGAGAGTGCAACTGAGAGCAACAGAAGTAGCTTGGGGGCTGGAATGTATGATTAATGAGGGAGGGCTGAGGGAACTGGGTTTCTTTAGTCTGAAGAAGAGAAGACTGAAGGGATCTGATAGCAGCCTTTAACTACCTGAAGGGTAGTTCCAAAGAGAATTGAGCTAGACTGTTCTCAGTGGTGATACATGAACAAGGAGCAATGGTCTCAAGTTGCAGCAAGGGAGGTTTAGGTTGGATATTGGGAAAAAACTCTCTCACTAGGAGGGTGGTGAAGCTCTGCAACAAGTTACCCAGAAAGGTGGTGCGTCCTTGGAGGTTTTTAATGCCCAGCCTGACAAAGCCCTGGCTGGAATGATCTACTTGGGGGTGGTCCTGCTTTGAGCAGGGGGTTGGACTAGATGATCTCTTGAGGTGCCTTTCAACCCTAATTTTCTATGATACTATGATTTTTCCCTGAAGATCTTTATTGAAAATTAAGAAATTTTGCCCATAACACTTCATGTATGCTAATCCCGTAAATCTAATAATTGTCTTGGGTTGGGAGTTTCTGGTTTTTAATCAGTGACTTCTGGGATACCCTTGACAGGCAGCCCCTCTGCACCATTTATTCTCATTACAAGAAAGAAAAACAGACAAGGAAAGACACATTTTCTGATCTTCTCAGGATCTCCAAGGCCATGATATAAGAAACTAGGGACTGGAAGGAACACAGGCTTGAGGAAAGGCAGTTCGAGATCAAGGTGCAGTAAGCCATTCTGCAACACTAGACAGAAAAATGAGCATATACCCAGTGTACTGCACAAAACACAGAGACTTAAACCCCACCAGCCACTGTGCCATATGAATGACTCTCTTCCTAGGCATGGGCTATTCTGCTCGTGTCCCTTGACCCCATTGAAAACTAAGGATAACTGCTGTGACAGTATCCAAGCCACTTCCTGGAATTCTTACAGGAATAGTCAGCATCTCACAGTCTAAGTGGTCTTACATGTGTTTAGAAATATGCTTGTTATTTATTACTGCAGAATAGCTTTCATTTGTGAAAATAATGATTTTTTTATTATGTCTTAAAAAAGCAGATGTGTATCCCCACATCAGTGTCCAGTTCCATAAAGCACACTACAAGTCGCCTAAAATTCAGGTACCAGCCAAGCACAATTGCTTCACAATGACAAAGCAGAACACTGACTGTGCCATACTGTCCAAGCATGCTCTTAAGGCCTCCTCCCCTAGCTATACAGTACCTAGATGTGATCTTGCTCATCTTTGACTATTCAAGATCAGTAGATAGCATTTTCCCCGTTAGTAGTATTCTCCCCCTGCTTCATAAATACTATGTAAAACAAAAACAACAGCAATAAGAATCAGAGTATTCAGTCACTGATGTCCAACCTATTCATGAGGCATGTCCAGCATCCATTCATTTTACTAATGCACATTCAACACTCATCCTACAACTGCTCAGGCAATAGTTAAAACTGTCCTTGCTGCTATCCAAACTGTCTGTCTTCATAAGCCAGGGAAAAAAAAGACAGTCTGGATCAGAAAGAATTACAACTGGCCTGGAAAAATGTCCTTGCCAGAAGCTTTTCAGAGTCCTGTATTCCTAAAGATGCAAACATGATGCACTCTCTCTGGCAAGCCAATGTTAAAGAAGCATTCCTGATGATCTACCAATTTTTTCTAGATATGGAAAAGTATTCTCTTCTGTTTATTTACTTAAAAGCAAGAAGCAGGCCCAGAATCAGTATGCATCCCCCAACTAGTGCTCCTTCACAGTTTTAGAATCCCACTGCATCAAATCCTTCTTTAATTCCTGCACACTGCCCAAAGTTACAGTTCCATGCAGCAGAGCATTCTGAATGGCACTGCATTCCTAGAGGGCAATCACCCACCTCGTGGATCTTCTAATACCAAACTACCTACCTGGTGACTTACAGCAATCCAGTATCATGAACTTCCAGAGCACAATCTCCACACAGGCTGTCACCATCAGAACAGCTCCCATCCTAATAGTCTTCTGCTGAAAACCCAAGGCAGACTTGGCACACAACTCTAGGAACACAGCATTCATACAGCTGAATGTTCTGCAATTCTGCCCAGTCATCCCAGATGTGCCTCACAAACCAATCCTGCCACTTAGCATTTGTGTCACAGGCTCAGAAGCAATGCTGGCATGTGCAGCTGGAAGGTGAATATTTGCAGTGCCAAGCAATTTTCATTCCCTGTCCACATTATCCATGCCTCCTCCTCAGTTTTAATTTTCACTACTGCACACCCACCACTATAGTGACTGATAAAGTTCTGCAAGTACAGAAGAATTAAGTGCCCTTTCCCTAAAACTGCCTGAAGAACTCTATGAAGTGATTCAGCATCCAAGCTTCTGCAACAAGGTGGAAATGGACACAAGTAAGAGTGGATTAATGGATGTAACCCAGAGATTTAGAGATTATTAAATGAAACAGGGGGGATTAAGGGAATTTAGCTCCCAGGATGGACGGCAAAAATCTCCCAGAACAGTGCATTAGATGGTGGTACAGAAAATGGGGGGGATGCTAAGCCTGAATGAGGCATATCTACATCAATACAACCTGTTGCCGCAAGGACTGCATCAGGAGAAGCAGTCAAGTGGGCATACGGCCTAGTAAAATAGTGATGCAGTAGTATTGCTGACACAAATGCCATGAGTAAAACCTCCTCATGTAGTCATAAGGAGCATAACAGGAGCAATAAAGCTATAGAATCATTACATTCACTAAACTGTGTTAGGAGGCACTCTATGCTACACACCAATGAGTTATATTAACAATCAATTAATAACTTACTCACTTGCAAGCATCTGACTGGCCAGTTACTACAGCAATTGTCCCAAAGGCTGACAGTAAATTAGATTTTTTTTTTGTCAAGTCATGTAGCATTAGGGAAGCAGCATACCAATTATTCTTTTTTTTTCCCCTTTCTTTTTTTAAATGTTGCTAAACTGTATAGAGACACCATACAGAGTGCAAGGTATATTGGTAGGTCTTATTAATGTTCTTTGAGAAGCTGCCTCTCCTTAAGAAATGTAATTTACTTGCTAGTGGCTCAGATGATGAGTTCCAGACACAACCTCAGAGTAACAGAAAGATAAACAGACACACTAATTCTTCAGTGACTCAGGTAGTGAAGAACAACAGCAGCAGAACTGTTTGCATCAATTCAGTTTTACTGGAAGTGTGATGTGTCTAAACTGGCACTAAATCAAATTATCTGTTACCAAAACAGAAGTAGACTAATTACAAATAAGACTTATAAAATCAAAGCTTAGAGTTCTATCAGCATGAGAAAAGCAGATGGGCTTGTGCTCACTCCTAACATGAGGGGGTGCTGTTCTAGTGCAACTTCTCTGTTTAGACCAGGCTCAGATGGTCTGGCAGCCGTTTTCAACATGTTGCTTAGTGATGCTGGATGCAGAAACCTTCCATGTTGGTGTTTTCCTGGGCTCGGGTGATCTACTGGTAGATATAACAGACCAGAGCTAGAACTGGATTAGCAAAACCCGACTGGCATTCGGCCAGTGATGGTGACTGTGAGTGACAGGTCAACCATCAGCCACTTTTAGATACTTAAATAAAATTGTGATTAGAAAAAAGCGAGGCAAGGAGCCTTGCTTACACTACAAAAGCGTGGCAGGCGTGACTAGCTGAACACAACTTTTCTGAGTCTAGCCTAAAAAGTTGTTTAATATAATATTATGTTATGTTTTCAAGGTCTTATTCTAACAATATAACATGCTGTAGTAAAAATAAAGCCACAGCACTGCATATAATGCTGTGCAGCTGTGTGGTAAATTACAGCTTTACCACAGCTTGCAACAATGGAATCAGATGGATTTACCACTGCAATTCTAAGCTGTAACTTCCACTGTTGATAGTACAGGTGGAGCTGCTCCAGTACTGGATATACATGGCCTGTTTTTCCTTTATTTTGCTTTTCCACCTGTAACAGGAATGGGAAGGATAAAGATGGTAACTCCTTATTACCAAGAGCCTGCTTGACCTCCTGTACAACTTCAAGCAGTCTCTGGCACCAGCAAGGTTAACCAAGAACAACTAACTTATCTATACTAGATGCCAACATGTATAAACAAGCGCTTAAAGCACAAAACCCCACACCTTTTTCCTGACAGGATTTCTGAGTGGGACAAAAGCTCCTTTCCTCAGCACTTTAGTGAGCATGTTCTAACGAACACATTCCAACACTCTAAAGACAAGGCAAGCTGTACTTCGGCTTTCTCTTAGAATTTCTCTTGATAGGGCAAAACATTTTATTTAGGTGTGACAGCAAACACATTCTAAACAAAACATTTACCCTAGTCCAGAGAAACCTTTTTAAATTAATTAATATCACTAAGCTTTCCTCTCTTGGAAACTGTTTTCTCTGGTTACAAACCAATCTATCTAGCAAGGTACCTGTGTATCAAAGACATTGGAGAGAATGATTCCATACTTGTGAGAGAGACAGTCAGAGATCCAACGACAGTCGTGGATAACCTGAAGGATCAAAGAAAGATTTGAAGCTGGCTGGCTGCTGATCTAATACCTAAATATATATATTTTTTGTTGATGGGTCTGAACACGTGTCCTCCCAACACTCTTCAATGGCTTTAAACAATCTAAAACCTTACCTTCAAAATATTCTCATCTTCTAGCACCATCTGTAGTCCATTTTTGAAGGCTCGAGGCCCCAGGAGAAAAATATCAAATAAGAAAACCCGACTCCTTGTTGCCACCTAAAACAAACAAAACCTAACTTATCTACAAGAGGGTGAGGACAGGTAGGGACATGAAAAAGGAAAAGGTCTCTTTAAACAGATATCTGCACTGAAGAAATCTTGTTCACAGGGAGTTTGTTGAAGAGAACAAGTTTAGTTTCCCGAATATTAATCTATAGGCCACCCCTACTGCTTTCAGAAATATTGTCAGACAAGCTTGTAATAAGGGATCAACAAAGTAGCTTATTGTACCTTGTTACATGCAGGCAACCCCCGCTTAACACTGTTTCACTTAGCGCTATTTTGCTATAATGTTCATTTGAAATTGATATCTGATTTCACTTAGCGCTCAGCAAGTTTAGTTATAACACTCACGGTCACCATCTTGGGTCATTAAAAACAATTGCGGTCACCATCTTGGGTTGTTAAATACTTTCAGTTTCGCTTAACACTTGTTTCGCTTAATGCTTGGTTTTTCAGGAACCATTTAAGAGTGCTAAGCGGGGGTTGCCTGTAATGGCATTTTCAGAAACAGAAAGAACGAATCCTATCCACAATGCCTGAATTAAAAACAACCTTCCACTCTCCATTGTCATTAGATACAGAGCGTGTCTACATGTTAATGTGCTTTTCCTAATGTGCATTAAATTCAGTACCTCCACTGTGAGGTACTAGAAAAAGGAGCATTAGCCTATTTTAATGCGCATTAGAAAAAGCATGCTTTTTTATGCTTTAATGTGCATGCAAATAGGCTAATGTGCATTAAAGCGCACATGTAGATGTGCCCAAAGAAAATACTAGTCCCCTAACTTTCATTAATGCTCCCTCCATGGTGTAAAGATAGCAATGCAAGACTAAAAAGAAAGCACCCTTTCTCATTCTCATATGCCAGGTATGTGATAGAGAATTTAGATGTGGCCTATACTCAGAATTGCACTGGAATAACTAAAGGTGTTCTTTATACTAATTTAATTAAACCACTGCAAACCCCCTGCAAAAAGTTCATTCAATTTTAAATTTGTTTATATAAAAATAAGGGCATCCATATTTTGCTCCAGTTTCAATAAATGTATTTTAAACCAAGCTGCATACAACTTTAACTATAGATAGAACCTTATTATCATGATCTCAGTTAGCTGTGGGCTGATCTTCCTCTTCTGACTCTTTATAATTCTTGATCTCTTTCAGGGTGTTTCATGAAGGCCTTGCATCTACTCTAGCAGTGTTTTGCTGTTTTAACTAAGACATACCAGTATAAAAATGCTTACACTAGTATCTCTTACTTCTGTTCATCAAAGCAAAATAAACTATACTGGTGGTAAGTGCTAGTAAAATGTCTTTTACGTTAGACTTTTTACTGGTCTAAATAGCACACTCCTTACTGATAATTATGCCTGTAAAACACCTTCTCTTTGTCCCTTACCTGAAACCAGCAGAGCTTTCCATAGCGACAAAGACTAACACCTTCTGCTGCAACACTAAGAACCATCTGCTCTTTGATGTGCAGTATCTAAGGAAAATAAGGAAGAAAGGCCTGTTACCAAAGGTGAGATGGCTTGAAGGACTAATAACAAAAAGGCTGTTGTTTCACATTCAACAGAAAGCAGTAGTGACCACAAGTGTACATCTGACAGGTATTTAAATGGCCTGTGAGAAATGAGTTAGAGTTCCCAATCCAATTACAGAGGGCCATGTAATCATGCTTAGCAGGCTGAGCAGAGAGGTCAAGGACCAAATAGACCATGGATACTAAACAACTCTGACAAACAGAGAAGGTCACTCTGAGGAAGTTCTGAGTTACTTTGCTGATATCATACAGTGAGCCTTACTCCCTGTGCAGTATCTGGTTTCTATGGGTTAAGAAGAAGTCTGTGCCCGATATTCCTATTAAACAGAACACTTTTCTAGGGTTAAATTTGCAAAAAGAAATCAAAAAGGGTTACAGCTAAGTGCATTAAAGGGAAAAAGGTTATCAGTCATTATACACTTGTGATAAAGCACACCTTGGAGCAGAGGCCAAGCAAGGCCCCTGCTCCAAGAGGCCAACTGTACTTCTTATCCAATTATATTTTTAATATATTGGCAGCAAGGCTAATATATTAAAAATTGATTTAGAAGCAGAAGCTGCCTTTTCAAAAAATGCTTGGGTACAGTGTCAGGTCCTCTGGGGCAGAAACCTTGTTTTGGTTATACATGTGGACAGAGTTTAACACACTAAGGTCCCAATCCCTCATAGTTGCTACCACAATGGAAACAATTATGATGATTTCTGTCTGCTAAGTTTGTGTAAGAAAAACATCTCTTACAAGCTTTTTAACCTTGAATTTGCCATTAGCTCTAGGAGTTCTGTGACAGCCTTCAGCATCAGCAGTCCAAGCTTCCTGTTGACCTCACTGTTCTTGATCAATGTTAGATAGGTAACAAATAAGTGGTAGAACTCAGATTGCTGAAGTTGCACACATCACTGGAATCAAAGAGCAGTTGCTTCTGACAGCTAATACCAAACAACTCTGGTGTTTCCCAAACATGGACCATCTAATTCCATTCTCTCATAATTGATACAGAATCTCTTATATAACTGATGCAGATCCCCCTACCTATGGACAACAATACTCCCATCTGCACTGAATTCCCTACCTTCCCATTCATACATGTATGTTATGGAAGGGAGTTTGTGCACTTTAGGTTAGAGTAAAGTCATTTGTGGTCAAAGATACCATTGGCACTTTGATCAAGGAAACAGCAGTTACCACATCTTAGGAGTAAGGTAGCAACAACTTGTGAAAGGGTACTCTAAGACATGAGAAGCTCACAGAGAACCGTCTAAGACCTGCATCCAATGGCAATACTTCCTATTAAAATAGGGCAGGATCACAGGTCAACACACTATCAATATATTATTCACTGTTACTCACTGCTGAGCCAAATTTCTGCTGGAACTGATCAATGACTATGTACTCCATACCTTCCTCCTCGTCTTCTGCAATGAAAAACACTAGAAGTGTGCTATGCATCAACCACCACAGTGGTATATATCACACATTCATTTATTCAAGTCTCATCTTTGCTGTACCTGCAGAGTTCCCTCTCCCTCCCCTCAATGCTTCCTTACTGCCAGAAGAAAATTTTCCAGATATATTAATGAATTTCCAAATAACATTTACTGCTATCATGCCCAGCAAATTTAAAAGGAAAGCCAGGACTTTGATCTCATTACGTAAACAGGGAATGAGTTTTGAAAGTGATCACCAAAGGTAAAACATTTATTTTATACCCTTTTTAGATGATTCATGAAATACAAAGGGAACAGGAAAAGTTTCTGTAAGACTCTTTTTTCCCCATTAAAAAAGTCATCGCCTGTCCAAACTGGTTCATGTTATTACATAGTGTACTAGCCAATTGCCTGTCAGGAAAGATGGGGGGGTGGGGTGGGGACAGAGCACCACCACCCCACACTGCCACCGTCTCCCAGGAACACTGCGGGGAAACCTTGCCTCGCCATCCCCTCTATCCCCCTCAGCCAGCATGCCATGCCGCCCACTGCAGGGAGCAGGGCCAAGGGGGGGGGGGGGGAAGTGCGCGAGGCCAGCACTCCATTCCCGCCTTCTACAGGGAGCAGAGGTGGGGCAACACCAGTGGTGCTGGCCTCGCCCCCCTAGTCCAGCTACTCTGTCCACACCATCATGATGACGCTCTGCCGCTGCTGTCTCCTGTCCAGAACACTGTTGGAGCACTCTGGTTGTTTCAGACAACAGACAGACTAAGGGTTTTATAATATTAGATTGTGCAGCTAGTCAATCACAACATTACAAGAGGCTGAAAACCAAATGATGAAATGGAAATGAACACAGAACAATTGATTTCAGACGCTTGTTTCTATTAACAGCTATTTAGCAACAATGTATAATGACACTTGAAGAAAGGATGCCTTTGTTTAACATCCCCTTTTCCTTCAGTAAGGTGCAAGAGCTTGTAACACATGTAACAAAAGTGTCACATCTGTGACACTCCTAACAAAACCTCTAGTAAAACTAGAGAAGACTAAAATTTATATTTCTAAGGTTAAAAAAGTTAAAACAAGCCTAATTTTTAAAAGTTCTTTGCAGGTCATGTTCAATCCACACCCATTTTTCACCATTTCCTGGACTCCTTTACAATCTATGTGTATTCCTGTGAGATCACACAGATTTTTAACTCTGGAACCACATACACAGAAAACAAGAACCTTCTTAGTAGGCAGCTAACAATCTCCAAGTGTAATGATCAACCTGACACTGATCAGGAATGGCCAACTGGGTTCAGGATGTTATTTGACACCATAACATAATGAAACAGCAGATTAGCACAATCGCAAGAAGAAATGTTTGCTGCATGGAGTACTTTGCCCCTTTACAAGACTAGTTGGGCTGCTCTGTGAATGAGTGACTTCATAGCTAGAAAAAAACAACACATAAGTGTTATAAAAAGCATATGATGCAACAGAACTACCAGTATTACTGCCCTTTTAATTATTTTTACTTTGAATGCTCTTACTTATGAGCCTACAGTTGAACGGGGTGGGGAGACTTAAGCCCCAAATGGCCAGGATATAGGAACTCAGCAAGCTGTTTTAGACCCATCTGGTTTCAAAGGGGAAGAAGGCACGACACAACCCCAGAGTATCTGGATCTTTCTGCTGAAGTTAATATCAGTGAAGTAGTTAAAATTTCACATTTGAATTGTTGTCATTAGCTTCAGTGTTAACTCAGTTGATAGTCTATGCAGGTAATTAAACTCATTCAAGGTACTTACTGAAAGTACGTTACCAAAGCATATCTATTATGGGCAGAGCTGCTTGTACCTCACCTGACAGGACAGACAATGGTGAAGTACAGCATAACCTCATAAATCCGGCATGCTCAGAACCGAGCACTTGCCGGAAATTTGAAAATGCCAGATCTTTTAAACCGGCGCAGCAGCCGGTCATGCAGCAGCAGGGGAGGGGGGGATAGTGGTGCGGGTTGGTGAATGGTGGCAGCAGCCACCACATGCACATCTGGGAATGCGGAAGAGAGCGCTGGGAGGAAGTGCTGGATTTTTGACAATTCCGGATTTTGGGCATCTGGATTTATGAGGTTACTAGCTAATTGCCCATCAAGAATGACTGGGGGGGGGGCGCCCATGTTGGCACTCCTTCAACAGCCCGTGTTGGCCCTGCAGGTGGCAATGATGGAAGGGGGCAGGAACATTAGCTTATTTTAATGCGCATTAGAAAAAGCACACTTTGTGACCCCACTCCCCCCCTGTGCTGCCCCTGCCCCACTCCCCCCCGTTGCCACCACCACCTCCAAGGAGCGGGGGGGGGGGCCCCCCGGGGGGGGGGGGGGGCCGCCCCCGT